GAAATTAAACGTACCTCAGAAAGAACAGGAAATGAAACGATGCGAACAGGATTGCGAGGACCGTTGCATAGTTCTCAAATGCCGAGTTGCAAAGAATCCGCAGAACAACTGTAATGCCAATCAAAATGAACGAAATCCACAAGGCGCAGACGCCTGGAAAGTAAGCCTAAAACGAAATGGTGAACTTTCTGTGAAGTCTGCTCTGTAGCAGTTACCATTCGCTTAAGAAAGTTCATAGTGCCAATGCGTTTCATTAAAATCCCGGCTTCTATCACGTAACCAATTACCCCAAGGAGCACGCAACATTCAACAATACGAAGAACATGAAAACGGGAAAATATTACACAGGCTGTGTTTGCGTAAAAGTCATTCCATACTAAAGAAGTTTTGCTGAGCCCTTGACTTTCGCAGCAGCCTTGAACTTCTGCGCAATTCGCAGAGGAACAGTTGAATTTCAAGAGTTGCTGCTGGGCTACATATTCTGAAAACAAATATTCAAGCGATTCACACAAGCGTCAGAATTTCACCGTCATCAACCGTGGATCGAAGAAGAATCGCTAGACACATAAATGCATAAAATATCAAAAATACAATGAGCTTCTCAGCAAGCCTAAATTAATCCCAATCACAATTGACAAAAATGATTTCCCTACTCACTTTCGTTTAGCAAATGTTTTCCATTTAGCCTCCAACAAATTTTCGACAAGACCTTCAAAGAGCATAAGATGACAACTGGACTCCTAAGCAATCACAGAAGTCGGTAATAGTCAGCGTGGTAAATGGTTACTGCAAAGGTGATAAGCGATAATGCTGATATTTCCTTCAGCTTCCCCGTCTCTTCCTCGATTGTATCGATGCTGCTCAGTGGATATGCGATGCACATAAGGCTTCCGTACGTCCAAAGATATTGTTTTTCGTAGTTGAGCACGTGATCGAACATCTAAGCAAAAGGCATCAATTGAACTTTTATCATATGACTTTTGATGTACTGCAACTATATGCAGCGTGTATGATGTAGATGCAGCGTCGATGGCTGATTGGCTCAATGGCATTCTACGTCTTCGATACTTCACGAAGCGAGACATGCAAACAGTTTATTTGGGTAGCTACATATAACGTAATATGTTTTACAAAATATGCAGCATAATACTGAACGTTTACTGCTGTTTCAACCTAATAAACACTGCTTCCGGTTGATCCGACGGACTTATGGTCCACATATCTGCCAATACTAGAATTCTGGGAATCAACTCTGAATATCTGGAATGATGCGCCAGCCAATGACTGCTCATTCTGCGAGGCAGCTTTCGCGCTCGAATATTCCGAGGGCCTTTAAAATGTTGTGGCGATATTTCAACATGTAACATATTTTCATATCGACACATGTAGAACCATGTCATTCTGAACATTTTATACAGGCAATTTGCTAAAAGAGAGTTTTTTCATGTTTGCAGCATTATATGAGCCTCAAGTATCTGCTTATATAAGAATGCTTATCATTGAACCATAATTCATATTTAAATTAATACCTGAGCACTATTGCTACATTTAAAATGCTCCGACCAGGACTAAGTTACCTTTTTCTTCGCTAGTTTTGCTGCTAATGTCAGAGGAATGAGGTTTTGGTTATTCTGGATGTGCAATTTCGCTCCTAGACGGTATGCCAAATCGAACATTTCCTGAAATAGACAATATCAAGCAAGGTAATGCAACGATAATCAGTGACCGGTAGTTCGTGAATGACCATCAGATGAAGAACGGTGTTGCCGTTGGTGTCTCGCATGTTTGGATCTGCCTTGTTAGCAATCAGCAGTCGAAAACATTCTGGCTGTCTGGTACATGCTGCAAACGACAAAGGATACTCTCCCCAATAAGTTCTGCTAGAACCATACGTATATTCAGACACAGAAAAGAGTCAGAACGAGCAGAAATTTAAGTTTTCTAGTCATGATCGCTCACTTTTAGTGTGCAGGTCACAATTTCAATCAATATAGGTAAAAATAATTAAAACAAAACAATGTTTAGTATGAACATTACCGCATAACGCACGTAAATGATTTTTAATCTGCTACATTTATTCTCCTTTGTTTTCATACGATTCAAGAATTCATGATGGAAGTAACAGGAACGGCGTTTAAATAACGGAAGGACACTGTATACTAATTTGAGAAGCACCTCTGGCAGCATTATTGGCCGTACATCCAGGTTACTTTGAAAACATGTTTTCTGCATCTTACCCTGCGTAGTTAGTTTCCTTGTCGACATCCACCCATTCATGTTCTAACGAATCACATCTCGTTTCTTTCTGATCATCTGGACAAAAAAACGCTCCGTAGCAACGCTGGTGAACATCTGCCCCGTTTCTGAGTAGGAAGCGAACCATTGCCAAGTCTTCATTGATGATCGCTTGGTGCAGAGCCGACTGTCCTGCAAAACATTAGCTGTTTATGGATGAGTAGAGGATCAATTTTTCTGCTTATAGACATTTAACTCACTCTTCGTCAGACCCTGGAACTTAATTGTTAATGAGAGGGGACGATTGCATGCACAAGGGTTGATTTTTATTCCGAAAAATAGAAAGATGTTCCATTGCGTAATAAACATAGCGTGAATAGGCTTATTTCACGCTTATAGGATGTCATTCATACCCCGTCGTTTCAGTTTTCTTTTCAGTTTAACACTAGGAGTCATAACTCTCAAATTATGGCTAAATCGTCGTCTGAAAATTTTCTGCATGCTTCATTTGGAGGTTCATTACAGCGATGATTCATTTGCACCTGTCTTCTCAGAAATATGTTCACAGACTTCTGGATATACTGAATCACCCATCATAAACAGACAGGTGATTCACTGGTTATGATTGCTTCGCTAGCCAATGATTTGTGGGATTCATGGCGAACGTTAATGTCTCATGTCAGTCGTTATTCGACCGATACAACGTGGATTTTGCTTAACTCTATCCAAAAATGTGTTTGCTCAGTTTCCACAATACAACAGATATCTGAACAGAACAGCTGAAAAAATGTTTGTGTTGACGCACTATGAAAAACAGCATAAATACGGGTTATTAATACAGAACACGATAATATGGTCGATTGGATGATAGATCAGACTATGTCTCATTGACCTTCTTTAACATAAACACACTAATAATTGACATCGAAATTCCTGCTGTCGCTCACAACGCTTGGTAGTTTTGCAGTCAGAAGGCAAGCTTCATGCCTATATCGCTGGTTATATAGATTCATAGAGAGAGGGGCGACAGGACTTGCCTTCTCACTAATGACCAAGCGCTGCGAACGACATCAAGCGTGCCCCTTTTCGAGCAAGACAAGTTCGATCCTCAGATGAAAAGTTACAGTGTCCAATAAGAGTCCCACGTAAAGGCGAAAACGACCCGTCAATGTCACCGTTGCCTTGCAGTTATATGTCCGTTCGTCAAAGTCAATAACAGGCAACTGCGATTAAATACCGGACGAAATTGGGGGACCTGTCTGTATTAAATTCCCCCAAGCTACTGTCAGCCTTGCAAGCAGGTGATAAAATTTCATGCACTCTGACAACGTCACTAGATGGGCTTTAGTATCCTACGTTTTCCACAGCTTTGAGTCGCTGTTCCTATTTGACTGACGAGGAACTGCTTACAATTTCAGGAGAAAGGTCGCCATCTAATAAACGGACCCAGGCATCGCTCTCAATTTGTGCCTACAACTGGCGATGGACGAAAAATCAAACCATTTGACTAAGGAAAGCTCAGGAATGGCCGTGACATCCTTTGTCTCTGCGAAACTCAGTAGCGGAAGGGGATGAGTGACTTCTGGTAAGAAGGTTGTTCCATTTGATGGGGAAGAGAAGAGGGCACGAAAAACATGCGAAGAATCAGATTTTTAGTAATCAAATGCTCGTCGCTCTGAAGCATATTCTGCCATGTGAAATAACCAATATCAAGCGGGCAGTGCCTGCAACTGAACAAAGAGAAGCTCCTCCAAACAAACGCCCTCACAAGTACAGCTGACGATGAGGAAGTGGAAGAATTTTATCTAGCCTAGAAAAGGCATTTGTCCCAAAGCCCTAGTATGCCCTCGTTATGACCGACTTCAGTGTGAAAAAGGACCGTTGAAACATTTGTCAGTAGGCACAGCATCGGAGAGCGAAATGAACGATGAACGAGGAAATCGGTTTTCGAAAAACAGACCAACGGGAGGTATAAATGGATCACGCCCAAACGCTGCGAGCACGAATGAAATCGCCTTCGTCCCGTTGTGTTCCATAATCCGATGCATGGCAGTAATGACACCATTTAAACCGTCAATAACAAAAGACAGACGATGGTCAGGCTAACCTTCGAGGAGAATATTGTGAGGAAGGCAGTGAAGATGCAAAGTCGCAGACAACAGCGACCGAAAGTGTTCGACGAAGTGATCCTCTAAGAGCTCATTTCCAGCGACAACTGGAGTCTGAATGGCAGCTGCGACGAGGAGTACGAGAAGTACGCTGAGAAACCGAGGCACTGTGTAAAGTCAGCCGAGAGAATAACATCAAAAACGGCGAATGGAAGGGTCTCAAAACAAACAAAGAGTTCGCCATGGGAGTGAAGAATGATGAAGATGGATAGGACTGACACCGTAGACTGCTTTCTTCTCTGCAGGATCACTAGGTGAAAGCTGAACCAGGACATCGAGACCTCTCAATTGTCATTAGTAAAGAAAATATCCGATGATCACAGAAGCCACAGACAGTGTAGAAGAGAATTAGCACTTTATCAGTCTACCAACCCGCCATTGATAGAGCTGAGATGCTATCTACATATAAGAATTGCTACACCCAGCTCCTTGCGTCAAAAACAATCACCGCCTAATCATCACTGCAACAGCCACAAGGAAGTGCACTCCCGTTCTCATATTTTCTTCACAGAAAATGAAGGAAGGAAGGAATGACCCCCTTCGAAAGAGAGTCTGATAACTGAAATGATCAGAAAAGCGGTTAAACAGATTGAAGGGCTAAAGCTGAGAGATCTGGTCGTTGTCTGGAAATGGAAAAGATGCCATCACGCTGAAAATTTCAACAGGAACCGTGTTGTTCAAGAAGAGAAAGAAGAAAGATGTGAAAAACTATGGCTCCTCAAACTCGCTGCTGGAAAATATTTAGAAGCTGTTTACTAAGATCATCACCAATAGATTGTCAGCAATTCTAGAAGAACAGTAAGCAAGAGAACAGGCAGGATTCTGAAAGATTTACAGCACAACGGATATGCATCTTGATCTTAAATCAACATGGAGAATTCTAATTTCCTCTCTGTATGGCATCGTCGGGAAGAAGAAAGTGTTTTACACTGTCGAGCATAACGCAGTGGTAGAAAAATGGATAGATATCTATTATCTCAACCTACTAATTTTGGCTGATTCAGAAGCATCCTCCGGATTCTGGTTGAGAAGCCCCCCCCCCCGAATCAAGGCGACACCGTCTTTCAAACTCATCACTTTTGTTTAGAAATGGTATTCCGGAGGATAACTGGAAAGGGAGGATTAACATCGACGATGAACAGCACAGCCATTTAAGGTTCACAGAAAACGTGATGTTGTCTGCGGAAGTCAGTCAGTTACGTGACATGCTGCTAGAGGTCGAGAGGAACAGCATAGAAGCCAGGCTGCGAATCAATCGGTAAAAGACGAAGACTCTGTTATGAGATGCCGTGCCGAAGACCCGTGAAGAAGTGCATGAATGCATTTATTCGGACCATGAGATCAACCTACAGCATGGTCAGACCGGTAAAATTCAACAAATGAAGACAGCCGGTTGGCAAGCGTTTCGTTCCACCAAGGATGTCCTCCTAGAAAAGAAATTTGTCAGGAAAGAAACTGGAGCCTACCTTTTGAATTCTACCACCCTGCCAGCAATGTTGTATGTTATGAGACGTACGTGGATACCATAAAGCCAAAATGCGCCAGTTATCCGTCATCGAGAGAGCCATGGAACAAATAATTTTGGGAATTTAACGTCTCCATCACATCCCCAACATGTGGTCAGATAACGGAAGGAAGTGAAGGACGGTGTCGTCGAAAACGAAAGAAAAAGCAACATAGATCCGGACCGTAGATCGATTCACCGACGAGAAATATTCATCGATGGTCGTTTACTGGTGTCCTCACGAGCGGATTAATCCGATTGGTCCTCACGCCCGCCCTTTCGTTGGGAAGATTACAGAAGGAGCTGGGAAGGCCCAGCTTGGAGGAAAAAGGCTCGAAAGAACGAGGAATGGCGGGCGTGCTGGATGCGACGCGATTTGTTGCAGATTACCGGTGGTCAAGTAGATCCAAGTCACTTGGACTTGGTTCTAGTGCAAGTTATTACAGTTCCGAAGTAAAAGGATTTTGAGGTTTGGTTCAGGTATTGATAAACAAAACTACTTTTAAACAACCATTCAAATCCCTATCTCTGGAGCACTTACTCCAAAAAGAGAGTTCATTCTTCTTGACAATTTTCTATTATGTTGTTTCAGTTATGTGTATGGCTATTAAATATCAAAATTCATTAAATGAATTTACGTAGCATGTTTTGGAACTTCATTCGGTTCAACAGATGCTTTAGCGCAGGTAAATATTTTCTCTTTTTATTACCATAATATTCTTCTGACAAATAGATGTCATTAACCAATTTCGGGAAGGTCTTGATCAGATGTTTTGCCACCTCGTTGTTCAGATAAGTTCCGTTCAGGAGGCAGATGTGTACCAACGTTTCTCCCATGACACCTCTTTGTGACATACTCCAGCAAAGTTCTCGGTATTTGGCACCTGCACCTTCCTTACCACCTCCATCCAGCATCTGCAGTGCTGAAACAATAACTGTCTTTTAGTAACAGCACCATAAACAGTTCATTAAACTCGTCACGTTGACGTTTTTATGGATCGACTTATGATACTGATCATGGCTCAGTTGAATCACAGAGTATCTAGCTAAAATACCTCTTTAATTGAACGCTGTGAATAAAACCGTTCAGATGATTAGAACTCGTAGTCCAATGTAAGTCAATCAGTCGCTATCAGTCGCAATCAGACAAATGACCGCTTACCTTTTCACATTGCAGAGGCAGACGCATTTGAGAGCGCGTCCAAAGTAACCTACCCTGAGCTAACGTTTCAGCTTCGGCAAAAGATAAATCGAATCCAACAGTCCTTCGACAAGACATTCCCAGGGTATTCTTGGCGGTTCCGGTGGGTTGAGGCAGTGGTAGCTGTTTCACCCTCCCTTCTGGAAGCTCCCACCACAAATCAATGCAGTCGTGACTTTCTAATCTAGAGAAGTAGCACCTGTGCAACAAGGATCTTTCTGATATGTTGACTTTGGACCCTGCCAAGAGGGGTGAGGTTCATCTAGAAAAGCCAGTTTCACCCGTTTGTACCTGCAGTCAAAGATTTTCAGTCATAGCATGCGATTCTTGACCAAATATGAAAATGAGGGTGATTATCGACTTCAACACAGGGAGCTCAGTCTTCAGAATTGGCTCTGCTTCAGTAATAGCAATTAGCTAGTTTACGCAGAACGCCGAACGCGTTCCAATGCGGCAGTCGATCTTCTCATGCCATTTTCCACAGCAGGAAACATGTTTCGAGGTACGTGAAATTCTCCGCCTGCTCCATAATTTCTCTGTCTATCCACAAAGTGGACCAGACAGGAAAACGAGAACAGGAGGGGTAGTACCCCTGTTAAAGAAGGGAGACCACTGGAAGTGCACCAATTATCGGGGTACCTCGTGGTGGTGTTTAGGCGTGCAAGTCGATCTTTATTCCCACACTTACCTACGGTCATGAGTCGTGGACCATCACTGAAAAACTTCGAACACGGGTAAAAGCGGCTAAAATGGGATTTCTTAGACGAGTCGTTGGTCTTACGTATCTCGACATGGTTAGGAATACAGAAATCCGCAAGAGTCTTAGTGTACCGCCGCTGCATCTCCAGACTGGGAAGTCACAGCTGCAATGGCTTGAGCATGTGTTGCAGATGCCAGAATGAAATAATATGCAACAATTTCTCGCACAGCTGACCGGCAGAAGGTTTAGCAGATGGCCATGATTAACCTGGTGCAAATATATGGAAGGAGTCTATTCCAGATTCCAGTTGTCTTTTGCCGAAGCTTGGACTCTGGTACAGGACCGGGCACGTTGAAAGCGCTGTCTGATGGGCTTGTATCCGACATCCGAAAGGAGAGGAAAATACTGGAAGATGAAAATATCAATTAGGTATTATTAGAAATATATTGGACAATGTAATTTTTAATTGATATATTATTTATAGTAATGTTATATGTTGTAACAGGTGTTGCATGGGGGTGAATGGCGACAATTCGAGATCTCTCAACGTCAGCCGCGGTCTCGGTTCTGT